TGTGTGTGTGTGTGTGTGTGTGTGTGTGTGTGTGTGTGTGTGTGTGTGTGTGTGCGTTTGTTTTTCTTTATTTTTATTCATGATTCTTATATTTCCCGTCATTTTTTTTCTTTTTTTTTAATGTTCTTTGTTTTTTTTTTTTTTTTTCGTGAAATGAAGAACGATGCCGACGTCTTGGCAGCTACAGCCTACCGGGCGTTGGGCTTGGCCGACCCCCGATAGCTGTGGCATGTTAACGGGCAAGCCCGCAGCCCATGTATGGGCCAAGTATTGGTGGTTTAAAAAAAAAAAAAAAAAAAAAAAAAAAGGACGTGCCAAGGGTTTTTGTCCAATGTCTATGGGGTTGACTACCCGTGAATCCTTCTTCCGTTTCCAAAGCAACTTGCAACGGAAGCAATCAATGATTCAAGGCTGTTAGGGGTCCCCGATCCATAACACAGGGCAGTGTCAAGATTGGGTATGCTACTGCGAGAAATAACACATGGAAATGCTAAGAAGAAGATCTCATGAGTTTTACTTATCATGGCGTTTTTTTTTGTTTTTTTTTTTTTTTCTTTTCTTTTCTTTTTGGCCGCTAACACCTTCCTCCCCACAATTCCTCGATATAACACCATCAAGAATCTCAACCCTTCTACTCGCGACTTGGCGCAGTGTCATGGAGATTGGGTATGCCTACTATCCTACTACTGTGGCATGTATTCGTTTTCTTACTTGCCATGAGAATAGGAATGGTACAGATGCTGAGACCTGGACCCTAGGTCTGAGAGGAGAGAGTGGGATAGGGCAAGCTGACATTCAATCCTCCACCACGGTGGAGCAATCAATGCTGTTCAGGGATCCTTCGGCCGGACGGAAGGAAGCGTATGTGAGTTTTCTGGATGTAATGCTATTTTGACTTGCCGGTGGAATAGGAACCGGACTGACGCGGACTGATGCGACTGAGGCGGATGCAGATGCGGCGGGACGGAGCGCTAGCGCCGTATGGGTAGCGCAACGAGCGCTAACTTTCGCGCACCTACGCCCACAGTGGCTGCACGTATGACCTCACCTTGGACAGTGAACTCCACGAAGTCTGTAGTACCGGGCGCCATCGCGCCTCCATAGCTAGATAGGGGTTCCCGGCGCGCGCGCGCTTGGCGCGTGCGCGCTGAGATCCTTTTGGGAGTGGACAAAAATCTGCCGAGAGAGGTACGATGTCTTCATCGCCACTCGGAGGAGTAACCAAGATCGTCGTCGGAAGATCGCGACTTTATTTCATGTAGGATCGTACTCAACTCTGCCTCATCGTCTAACCATCTTCAGTCGACCCTTTCATCTGTCCCTCTAATACATCATCGAAGCGCAGCCTATTCATTCCATCCTCCCCTCCATYGCGCTCGCATCCCCCAAWCTCCTTCCCTTCCCCAAYCCAGTCTCACATCCACCCCGCGTYCCGTTATAAGAACCGATTCCCCCATCTCCTCCATYCGACCCYGTCCAACCTTCCCCCTGACCCAACCGTCTCCTTTCCCTCTATCCCACATCTTCCTTGATTGCAACCTACCTCCACACCGACCCCTTCCGCCCACACCCCTCCGATCGCGAAGCTTCGGTCCCATCCATTATCCACCCGGTCTCAATCACATACTCGACTTTCAATCTCGCTTCCACCGCTCCCACCCCTACTCAACCAACCCAACCGTTTTCCTCCCCATCCCCTCTCGTTCCCAACCAGTCCTCTCCCAGCCCCGACTTTCTCCGTCCCCCCCTTTCCCACATAATCTYGGAATCGAYGGTTCGCARCCTATTTCCACGCTAACCTCTTCTACACACACCATCACGATCCTTACCTTTCGCTCCCACCCTATCTCTCCCCCGGTCCCAACTTCCCATCTGCCATCTTATCCTGCCTTCTCTCCACCTCAACCGTCCTCCCCCTTATCCCTTCGAATCTCAGGCTCCTACCTCGTTCGTTCTGTGGGTGATTTCGCCGCTCGGGACGCAATTCAATCACCCAGGGGAGAAGGTTCTTGTTTACGTCAATTCACTGGACTTTTCTTTACTGAACCTGAGCTGGCATTTAGTCTTACCCTCCCTCCCCTATAAAAATCCGATCCCGAGTGGGGAGGGCAAATGCTGTCCAAATGTGGAATCAACCATGTAAGAACAAACCCATCGCTTTCATTCCCTTTTCCTTATCATCTTACTCCCCGTACCTCACCCACCCCCTTCCTCTGATCTCCTTCCGCTGATCCCGTTCCCCGCTCCTCATCCAGCTCCCCCGGCTCCGCTCCCGTTTTCCCCATCCSGGTCTCCCRAYCCCTTTCCTGTTTCCCTGATTCCTTTCCYGTTCTCCGATTCCACTCCCCCGTCTCAGCTCTCRAAAGGTGGTGTAATCCTCCAGCAACCACCTCAACTCTTCARCCCATCCCGTCGTCAATTCCGTTTCGAATCGTCAACCCCACTCCGACACGGATCCAACCCGTACCACACCCCGATCCCGCCATCCACCCAGACTACGTCTTCCGCATCTCCTTCCGCTGATCCCGTTCCCTGCTCCTCATCCAGCTCCCYCGGCTCCGCTCCCGTTTTCCCCATCCCGGTCTCCCGATCCCTTTCCTGTTTCCCTGATTCCTTTCCYGTTCTCCGATTCCACTCSCCCGTCTCAGCTCTCGAAAGGTGGYGTAATCCTCCAKMAACCACCTCAACTCTTCAGCCTATCCCGTCGTCAATTCCGTTTCGAATCGTCAACCCCACTCCGACACGGATCCAACCCGTATCACACCCCRATCCCGCCATCCACCCAGACTACGTCTTCCGCCCGACCCCGGACCCACTTCCKGAGCGCCATTTACTGCGTCAGATCCYGATAYRCTTCCCATCCGATCGTACCCGCAAGATCCCGTCATAATCCCGACCTCCRTCCCATTCCGTCCTTAGTTACGATTCGAACCACTTACTCATTACTATCCCCCATCC